TTAATCTGCTGTGTTTGACTTCAAGATATCCAAGTATGTATTAGTTATTTTTATCATTTCTTCAACTTCTCTAAAGTCAGATGTAGATGTGATTTGCTAAAGGAGATCAGAGCCTGTTTAGCTCAACTTTCAGTTTTGCTTATTTTGTAATTTTAACTGAAATTTCCTGATATCTTTTCCAGTGAGTGGGAATTTTCTCAAAAATTAGATTTTTAAAGATTTAGCTTGATCTTTAACTCAGATCAGAATTACTGGTGTAGTCTCAAGGGTAGTGGGAAATAGAAGTTCTTGTTTTCTATTACTTTCCCTTTCATTATAGCCAAAAATATAATAATTGAAGACTGCTATTCTTTTTTTCAAGATAACACAGCTATTCTCTAGTTTTATCCATCCATCCTTTTTATCCTGTGAATCCAGTCTTTGGTAGGGAAAAGTTTCTCATTGAAGAAACATAGCAATGTTGTCTGCCTTGCTAGGTGCTACTGCTGCTACTTGTGTGTCTTGTCCCAGTTCCCAGGATTACTGCTATCACTTCTATAATTGCTCTCTCGATACTGGAACTAAAACTGGGTTAAAGAACAAAGCTGCACCATGCTGTTTCTCTTCAGAGTTAATTAAGTGACTAAAGGCACTCCCAAGTCCTGAAGCATGGTGCAAACCTAAGTGTTACTTGCCTATAGCTAACACAAATCTGGTAGAAATCTGGTTAGCCTGTACAGGTTTGATAGATTTCTGCCAGAAAAGATGCAGCTTTTTTTCATATATCTGATGAGTGAGATGAGCCTTGCAGGCTGAATGCTGTTCATCTACAGAAAAACTCAGGTGCTTTTGCACCTAATGTCATACAATCATACGTATGTGGAACTATTATGCTTGAGACGCCAGTTTTAGTTGCTATCGGGTATTTAAGGATCTTAATTGAAACTGTGATTTATGAAGTTTTATAATACCTACAAAATTTTTTGCCTTTGGGGATCATTCATAGTTGGTTTTGTTTTGGAAGCTTTTCATAATCTCCAAAGGAAATGAGCTTTATGTAATTATGCTGCTTGTCAGTACCTCTTTCTCCCCAAGTAACTTTTGAACCTGTTTGCCATGTTCATCTGCATCTTACAGAAATCCCAAAGACTTGAGGTACTGTGGAGCAGAAAGACTAAAGAAGGCTTGGAAGTTACTGCAGAACTAGGCAAGGAATGTGGGATGCAAATATTCAGGAAACAAACTTTTAAAATTCTACAGCTTGTAGAGCAATTTGTAAATTTTACTGCCATTGCTGGTTTGCCATTAGTGAAAATAAAGTCAGAGGCTTTCTTCAGTATAACTTTATTCAGTTGGGTTATAACAACTATAAGGCAACGGAAAATATCTATGCTTAGACCCATTGTTATCACTTCGCTGTTGCTGCCGTTCCCAGTAGGGGATGGAGAGCGCTTATTCCAGGCTGACTAATTAAGGAATGACAGCTGGTTGGAAATATCATTCTACTTTTGCAAGAGCTGTGAGCAACTTAACAAGAATTTCTGGAAAAAATGAACTTATAAACAAGATTAATTGACAATATTTAGAAGCTACGCTTCCGCTGTGAGAAGCTGCTAGGCTCTTGTGGTTGTGGCGGTAAAAAATCAAGCCTGTTCTTTCAGAGTCTGCGAGTGCAAGTCAGTCGTATTGCAGGTGTTCATGGCCTTGCCAGAGCAACTGAATGAGAGGTCATCATTTGCACCAGGTCTTGGTGCTGTTCAGCAGCAGAGCTGCAGCGAAATGGAGTGGAGTCCGTGTCAAGTCCACTTTAAAGCTGCTTGGGAAAACTGCGGAGGCGGCCAGCACGGTAGCTTTGTGTAGAGGGTGGGTGGGGTAAACAACAAGGTACAGGTTGAGAGAAGGGAACAGCATGATGAAGGGAAGAGTTGAACTTGTAGATGCCTATCTTCCTTCTTGCACAAGAGCTGGAGGCCTTCCTGAGCAAGGACTAGTGACATCAGCTGTTAGGAATTTTGAAATTCTTCCTTTGCCAAGTGCTGTGGATGTACAGGACAGATTAGAGTTGTCTAATTGCTTCTTCCAGACAACAGGACAGAATCCACCTGGTCATCTTTTAGTCTTCAGTTAGTAGGCTTAAGTGCTTTAGAGACACATTATAGTCTGTGTACAATATGTAAAATCCATTCAGTTAGGATGTATGTGATCTGGGAAATAACCCCAAAAATTAAGTGTTTAAGACACAAGTAGAGAGAATTTATTAGGAAGAGAAGATAAAACAGGGAAAACAAGCTCTGTATTCAGGAGTGGAAAGAACCCTCAAGCTCTAAAATATAGTAAGAAAATGTGGAGTGAGTGTAGGATGGGAAGAGGGAGAAAAAGCAATAAACACTGTAGTACATACCATTAAATTAACGCAGCTACCTACTTCCCAATTAAATACATAAATACAGTGTTAAATTTCCAGCCTAAAAATCAATCCATGTAGTCTGCCCTCACATTCATGGCCCAGATGTTGAGAGGTCATGGAGATATCTCTCAGCAGCAGTACTGCCTGTGCCAGGTGCCAGGTTGCCCATTTGTGGATCTAAGACACTGCCCTCTTAGCCAAGACTGTGCTCTGATGCTCTGAGGGAAGAGGGACAAGTGGAGAGGGGCAGGAGAAATGCAGTCGTCCTACTTCTTCTCCCTTCTATCAGTGGACATGCCAAGGATGTAGCATCTCCTTAAAGTCTGCTACCCAGTTTTCTTTACCTAGGCAACAGCAGAGGCACAGCAGAATTGAGTAGATGCACACCGAAGACAAAAACTTGCTCTGCAATCAATAGCCTAGTGTGGAAGTCTCATCATTTTGGTGAAGTTCATGTTCTTGCATGTTTTGTGTTACGGTGCTGCTCTGCTATAGTTTTATTATATGTTCCTAGAATGAAAAGATGTAACGTTTAGGAGACAGTTCTTAGCCTGCGTCCCAGGGAGTTAGCAATGATATCTGAGACGTGTCTCAGTAAAGGAGCCGAAGAAAGGAATGGCAGAGTCTCGCCGTGACCTACCAAAGGAAAGTTAGGTTGGGACTAAATTGATGTAATGTGGGATTTCTGCTGAATATGCTGATCCAAGCCATCCATGTTTGATATTCTCAATGAGAGTTCCTGTTCCTTGCTCTTGCTCATAGGATCAATGCATGTATTTATCCTTCAACTACAAAAGGGGATGAGATGTTCCTTACTCATTTAAGCACACAGTAATTGAAAACACTGTTAACAACATATAATCACTGTAGTGAGTATTTCTACACATTCAAATTTAAAATAAAATTTAAAAAAACCCCTGTGTAATTCTCTGGAGTAATGTTTGCTGGTGTAGGCCAGTTGGGTACCAGTAAGTCGACGGCTGATTTCTGCTCCCTCTTGCGGCACCGTGCGGTGGGAGAGCATCATTCGCACATCGTTTGCACATCAGTGATAGTGCTGGTTACGAACAGGGTGTAGTTATGAATAACTGGAATGGCCCTCAAGAGACTGTAATTTTGAAAATGTGGAAAGAGGGGTTTACTTTTCCAGTGTCAGTGGTGTGTGTATGTCCAGAAACACTAAAATACATGTATCTGTGGAGTAACACAAAACCTTTACTGCCTATGTCCATTTTTTGATTCCTCCCTAGCCACCTCCTGGGCTTGTATTTGTCATTGTTACGTGCGTCATAACCAGATAATGTAATCTTTTGTCTGTGTTGCATGTTTTTTCATACCTAACTGCAATGCAGAAAAGGGTTCAAGGTAAACTTCAGACAAAGCACTGTAGTCAGGCGGTGGAGGAAGGCTTGCCTGTAGGAGTAATGCTGTTAATTTTTCAAGTTTTCTGGTTTTGGTGCGGTCCATCCCTTATGCAAGAAAGTGGAGGAGATGAAGCGGTGAATGCTTTTGAGGTGGAATTGTGTTTTGAATGGGGGTTGGATGTCGTCGTTAAGGAGTTAATCCATAATCTGTGATGGCAAGAGTAAAGGAATTGTGTGACTTATTCCATCATGTGTTTTATTTCAATGTGTTGTTCCTCTTTCTGTTGAGACAGCTGATAGAGGGGAAGAAAGGTGAAATAAATACAGACAATGTTTTAAGACATTCAGTGTTTCATGATAGCCCTCTGCCAGTTAGCCAGTGTCTCCTGGGCATGAATAATGGGGAGGACAGGGTTGGTGGGAAGCTAAATGAGCAGTAATTGCCTAGGTGTGGGGTACCAATGAGTAGGTAGAAATAGATGGTAACTGTGGTATGGACAGCAAAAGGGAGCAGATAATTACAAAATAAAAAGGGAAGAAATGAGAGAAGGATTTTGAAAAACTGAGGTAAGCTCTGAAAGAAACACTTGCAGCTGAATGTTTATAGAAATTCTTACATCTCATTCTCAAACAAAAGGGAAGAAAACAGTAGGGAGGAACAGTTATGATGTGGGGAGAGCACTGTAATTAAGTCAGGGTGAAGAAAGATGGTGACTGCCAAGGGTTATAGGACACAGACTGTGGCAGTGAATTACAGAGACGTTCTGCAGAGATCAGTCCCTCTTCCTTGTGGTAAGCTAGAGCTGGAAAAAAAATTCATATTCTGTTGCATGTAAGTAGAGTATAGTGAATTTTTTTTTTTAATTCCCCCAACTAGACATATGCAATTTAACTTTGGCAGAAAGTGCTACTTGATTACTTTGACAGGTTTAATTACTTTGGCTTGAGTAGGATGAAAGTGAATTTATTTCCCAGTGAGAAAAGCGTTGAAAGGCTGCATGAAAACCTGTCAGAGGAAATTGAAGAGGGGTTGGGGAGTTATCTTTACAGTAAATGGAATTGATAAACATGTCAGTTAAAAGGGGCATTTTTTTATAATACCCAGGTTTTGTGGCCAGAAATCTTTGATAATTCCGTTCACTGGGAAAATGAATTTTACCTGTTCAATTGATTTGCTTTTTTATAATGCTTGTAGGGCAAGGAATTGCTGTGGAATAAAAAATTGAAGTCATAATTCTTTCTTTTCCTAGAACACGTCAGTAATGGAGGATCAGAATGAAGATGAGTCTCCAAAGAAAAATACCCTATGGCAGGTAGGACTAACATTCACGTAGAAAGAGAGTTGGCATGTTTTTATATGTTCCTGCTTTTGAGAAACTTCCAAATCTTGCGTCTGTGTAATCATCCTTGTATGTAGTTGACTGTATCACCCTAAAATTAGCTCAGCCTTCAAGTGAAGGATGACGCCGATGAATAATACTTGAGAAATTACTAGATCTTCTCAGATTTTGTAGTTTGTGCTGACCTTGAAAGGACAACTCTGCGTCAAAGGATACTTGGGAATACAGTTCAACCTTTCTGAGCATGTGACTGTCATTTAAAAGGAAAAATTCAACACCTACATGTGGCAAGGAGTTGCAACCAATTTGCTTTGAAGAAGTTTGGGAATATTTCAGAAAGCTGACAGTTGTTCCCCAGCAGCCCTTTTGGTCTCCTGAAGGGCTCAGAAGAGCCTGGAATCAATCTTTGGTTCTGTTTACTGATTAGCAATAAGTCCTGGGGTGTTCTTCTTGTAGCATCCTTGTTTGTAGCTAAAGCTCCCAGGATTATAATGATGTTTTTATGTGGATGTCCCAAACATTGACATGAGCTGTTTTTCAAAAACAAAACAAGCCCTTGACATCGTGTAATTCTCAGTTTTCATTTATGCACAAGCAGTTCAACACTGACATGAGGGTCTTGAATTTTTGTTTTAATTAGGGTATTAATACCCAACTTTGATACATCTCTAAATGTGTATTATTTTAACTGCTGGAACCCTTGTAAATCATTTGTGGAGGCAGACTGTAGTATGCAGTAGAGGCAAATGGTAATATGCAGCAGAAATCACTGGTTTAGTCTGGAAAAGTTTGTTCTAAGAAGAATTAAGTTCCTTGCTGTTTAAATGGTAAGAGGTGTAAGGGAATTGAAGTCTTTCAGTGTAAGAAGTAACTTATAATTATGAGCAAGGTCCTTTCATTCATCTTTATCTATGAAAGATGAAATTTGTATGGTGTAACTCATAGCTTTAAGAATGTATTTTAAAATTTAATTCTGTTGGTTATTTCTTTGCATCATCTCACATTTTCTTCCTTGAGAGAGTTCTTATAAAGCTGTTCCTGTTCTTGTTGATATTTAAATACTGATACTCCTTTTCTAAAAACAGATAAGTAATGGAACTTCATCTGTGATTGTCTCAAGAAAAAGACCATCAGAAGGAAACTACGAAAAGGAAAAAGACTTGTGTATTAAATATTTTGACCAGTGGTCTGAATCAGATCAAGTTGAATTTGTGGAACACCTTATTTCACGAATGTGTCACTATCAGCATGGACATATTAACTCTTACTTGAAGCCCATGTTACAACGGGACTTCATCACTGCGTTACCAGGTAACTTAATGTTTATTTTACAAGAAGTGTGTTTATAAATACTTTTTTTTGTTTAATACTTAGGGTGTATGCAAACTTTTCGGAACATCCTCCAGATTTAGATTGTCTCGTATAAATAAAGTGATGCTTCCCAGTCAAAAGAAGTGCAGGAGGGTAGCTGAAGTCATTCACTTCTGTGATTAATTGAATTGGCCACTGGATGCCAGTGTTGTTCCATGTAAAAGTAGTTGTGAGTAGCATATCCTGAAGAATAGTTTGTGTTTAAATTGGAACTGAGTTGTTGTAAAAGTTGATCTCTGCAAGCTCTGGTCTAAAGTTCCTTTTTCATACAAACCCCATGTGTGTAGAAAATACTGTAGAGATGGTGTCATTTGTGAAGTCTTTATTACATTTTAGCTTTGTTCTAAGTTTCCCAAATCTTAAATAAAAAGCTACCTGCTTAGATGGGTGAATCTAGTTTTCCTGGTCTTGTTGCTGACTCAAGAGCAAAAGCACTTGTGGATTTTTATTGTATAGTCCAGCCATGATTCCTTTCTTCACTTGCTCAGAACCTCTTCTGCCACCGGTCAGTGTAAACCTGTATCAATAGTTTGAATATGAAATCTGTTCTTACACTTGCTATATGCATTTCTTCAAAAAAAAAAAAAGGAACAGTAATAATTAGGTATATAGAATCTTTAGCTTTCAATCTCCTGGTAAGTTGTATATTTTAATTTCTGGAAGGAATTGTATCCCTGGATTTTTGCTGCTGGGGAGAATGATTCATTTGATTCTTTGAAAGGTAAATATGTGTACACTGCTTCCAGAGTGGGAAATAAGCATGAAATAATTGGTCAAAATGTTCTGTTTGCCACTGGCAGTATAATAGCACGGATTCACACCTGCAGTGAGTGAGGTCTCTGGATGTTATCCCAAGAATTCCAAGACATGACAGTGAGTGCTGAGGGCGGATGAGGAGGTGATACAAATTGTAAAGGGAATTGGAAACTGGTATTTTTCTGAGCACAGGGACCACTGAAGTAAAGTTTCTTTAAAGGTTGGTTGTATTACAAGCTCTGAAGCTTTTGTAGCCATTGGTGTGCTTAGGTGGTCTCGTGTGTATGGGACAGAGTGCTGCTTGCATGTTGCGGGTTTCTGTTCTCTGTAGTGCTGCTATATTTTCACAAAACCTGGAGGAATTCAGCTTTTGGAGGTGGTGGTGGGATTTTGGCTCATCTGGTTGAAATGAACTACTTAGTAGTTGGAGGGGAATGAAGAACGTGGGGTAGGACACAGGAAGTGATACAGAATCTCGTATGTGCTCTATTTTCTTAAAAAAACAGGCTTAAGAATGAGAAAGAGGGCTATGAAAGGGAGGGAGTGTCCTTTCCCCCACACCTCAGTTTCATGGAAGTTATTTTATAGAAGACTAAGCTTGCCTGGCCACACACATAAAAATGTGCTCCTCGTTTTGACTGCAGAGCTGTCTCGTTTAGGTAATGCGGATGTTTCTTCCAGCTTGTTTTCAAAATACTGAATTTTGATTTCTCTAGGGAGTGTCTAGGATTAACTAAAAAATAAAGTGAAATAGACAGTCATCGTCATCATGTGCAAGTATGAGCTTCAATAGTTTTATTTTTTTGCTTTTATTTTATACTTCAGGGCTGATATCATGGAGATAGACAATTCTTTCATATTATATATCTATTCCTAAGAAATTTTTGGGAGCTGCATAAGCTGACACTTATTTACACCACATTTGTATATATAAATACATATTTATATTTACAACTTCTGTTGCTTTTGAAGATGTAAATACTGGGAACTGTTCCCATACTTAGCCTTTCTTAAAGGTAATGTGGTGTTTTAAGAACGTCTGTATAAATTTACCCAAGAACTTAATCTGAGTTGATTGAAATCAATCCCGCATTGGACTAACATCACATTAAAAGATAACAGTAAAGTACTGCCTTTTAAAAGATAGTTTCACTTGTCTTAAAGAAGTAAAATTCCTTTGTTTTAAATGGAAATAGATTATGCTTGCTACTGTCCCTACTGATTTTACACCTGTGAGAATGCAGGAAAAATGGAAAAAGTTTGTTGTATCTGGCTTCCCTTCGCTTCAGTGAAAAAAAAGTGATAATTCTGGTGTGCTTTTCTGTAAGTGGTGGCAGAATGTTTAGTCTGCAGGGTCTGTTCTTACAAGTTGGGCTGTGGTTGGGCTCTTTCCTTTACTGCAAATCACCTTTGTGGCGTATGACTAGCTGTATCAGCTATAGCTGTATGGCGTATAATTGTATCAGCTATTGCAAGTCCCATTGATCAAGTGGCTCAGAAGCCTGTACTCATTGTTTTTCCACATCTGCCAACAGTGTTTCCTCTAGCATGTCAAAAACAACTCTCAAAAGACAGTGGTCTGTAATGGACAGCATAATTGCAAGAATAACTTATGTCACCTCTGTGCTTTTATTTCTTTTAATCATCTTCAAGATGTTAATATTACTTGCATGGTCTCATCCATATTGTGCCCTTTCCTTTTTGCCCTTTCCAAATTACAACTTTGACCTTTGAGCACTACCTTGTCACCCTTGACTAGGAAAGAAAGTCCCTTCCATATCAGTTTTGTGTGTTACAAGTGTAAGAGAACCGTACGCTGTGTCAGGCAAGTAAAACCCTGCCAGGCTTCTTTTGAAATTTGTTTCTAAAATAATAAAAGTCTGTGCAGTTGCATGATCTAAGTGAATGCTTTGTATCTAATGTTAGTTTTATAGAGTTGACATCCCACATTTGGGTTTAATTTTCATACAAAGTGATATTTACAATTGAGCTTTGAAATCCCTGTGGATTTTAATTGTTTTAATTTATTATTGAAATTCAACCAAACCTTCATCTGGTACCTATAATCAACAACAGCTGTAATTTTTCACCATTTTCTATAAAACTGCAAAAGCTCTTGCAGAGGCTTAAGAGTTGGGAGTAATGTTTTTCTTTGAAAAGTGTACCAGTAAATGCTAGATGCATTTTACTAAACAAAATTGATAGGTTTTAATACCTATTTCAGAAAGTGTTTATAAAACTAAATGCTCACTGTCTTTTAATGTAAAAAACGTATATGCAGCTACTTCAGGCCTTCATATGTCTTAAACTTAGTCCTGCACGTTGTCTGAAATAATTATAGTGGGTCTATCTAAATATCTGTGCTTTGGACCTGTTCCTACTATGTTAATTAGGGTAAATATTTTACTTGACATCTTTTTTTAATGTGAACAAATTAAATCTGTGCACTTCTGCAAGCAGTAAAAATCTTAAGAACAGACTTGGTGGCAAAGCAAAGCATTTGTGTATTTGTGCTCAGTATGCAACTTTCAAGGCTCTGTGTATTCATAGAAGATTGCCATATTTTAACATCAGAAAACACTTGAGTTTCTGACTTTTAAAAATGTGTTTTTAACTGTGACCAATGTTATACAGAATTATCAAAATTATGCATCTTAGTAAAGGGCTTCTGCCTAGTAATTCACAGCTGATCCTTAGAACTCAAGGAAATACTGGCTTCATAATGAACAGGTTGTATGTGTTAAAAGTGTACTGTCCCAGGTTGATGTGCATACATGTGTATGTTATCGCTGTTGTGGAGATGTGGTAGCTGATTGCAGTTAGCTTTTATTGAAAACCTTGGTTTAGCTCAATTAAACATTAATGAGCATTTGGTACTAGGATTACACCACAAGCAAGAGTCTGAAAAAGCCTTGGGTTAATGAAATGAATAAAAACAAGCTGAGCACTTGTCATTTGGTTTTTGTCTCTCCAAACACTTGATCTGATAGGCAGATCCTTCTGCAGATAGGCACTCAAGTCTAAATCTTCTCGAGAACATCCCTAACCTGTAGAAAACAAAAGTCACCTTAGGAAGGAAGATTTTCCTTGTACTTTGAGTTTATTTGGAGATTTACTCTCTTTAGGAAACGTTTTCTAGCCCTATCTCTAAATGCTTGGTGTGTATGTTACAGTGAAATGTTTTTTTTAAAAAATTGGATTTTGAGAAGGACCTGGGTCTTAGCCTGATACTTCTGAGTTCTGCACATGCCACAGAAGGGCACCAAACACATTGTAATACCCAGTCCTGTTTGCACTCTGGAGCGTAGTCTCTATCGCACAGTTTCCCGAAGTGGAGGAGAGGCTTTGATTCGGGATGCTGGGGCCAGCTCTCCGGTGGCATGATGAGTTTTGTACCTCTCTTTGTCTCAGGAGATGGCATTAATGACTCCTGGTCCCTCAGCAGCGATTTGCCAGCTCCTCACCTCTGCTTCAGATCGTCTTGTCGATAGCCAGAAATGGCAACATTGATCTCTCCAAGAAAGGCTTAGCTTTTGGGTGAATTGGTGGTGGTACTTTGGTCATTCAGTTTGCATTTCCAGACTTGAAGCATGAGAGGTGGCTTTGGATCCAGATTTTCGCAACTGTTTTTCAGAGGATTGTTATTGCTCTTTCAAATGCAGTTATGTGAAAGACTGAACAATTGCAAAATGTTCCTGCTTTGTCGTGTATAATTTTTCTTAATTGGTTCTGTGCAACTACATTTAATGTGGAGAACTATCTTTTTGAAAAATAATGTTTCACAAGGAAAAGAAAACTAAAAGCAATTGAACATGATAAGTTGATGAATACGCACATTGTCTTACTCAGACATCACATTCATTTCTAAATAGGAAATCGTAAAACCATGGACATCAACAATCCTATGTTCACCTCGTGCTAAAAGGTGAAAGGATAGAAAGCAAGCCCTGGTGTGTGCTGTCTACATCCTGACTGTGATCCAAATACTTTTTTTATGGTCTCAAAATTGTAATCTAAATCAAATTCTTCTGAAACTACTTAAATGACATGTACATTCTTACTCACACAAAGGATTTAAAATACAACATATGGATTTCTAATAATGGAATATGCTCTGTGCGGCATATGAAACTCCTAAAGTGTTTGTACTTGACTTGCCTGTTTTTTTCCTAACTCTGAAAGGCATTTCGCGTTCCACTCTCAAGCTGACCAGTGTCTTCTGAAAGATGATACAGGTATGCTAGAATAGCGGGGAAAAAACCAAAACCACCACCAGCAAAAAACCACAGAACCATGTGCTTGTTGAGTTCAAAGGATGCTTTGCAGTGTAGCCTTTTTATTAGGTTGGTTATTGATAACTTTACAGCTCCTCTGAGTTCTCATCTCTCTTTCGGGGGAGGATAATTATTTAGTTTGTTGCCAGGAGATGGCAGTAACAGATAAACTTTTAAAATTTTTTTTTGTGCATGAACATCATTTGAACATCTTCTATTTGTCTGTTGCTTTCTCCCTTGGGAGTTCTTCATTTCACATCTGACATGTTCATGATCTTTGCATTTCAAAAATTGCTCAAAACTGTAAGCGATAAGTGTTAGCAATATATTCAAGTGCCAGCGTGGCTGCTTTGTCCCATAAGCTTTCTTTAAGTATGTGGTTGAAATAAGTGCAGAGTTATGGTTCGCTTAAATGCTTTTAGTCAAGTACTACTAAGTTTCCCCCTTCTAAGAACATGAGTTTACATGTGTGATGGTTGTTTTACTAAGTTATGCCAATGAAGCAAAATTATACTTCTCGACTTTAGAATGAGAAAAGCATCCAGTAGATGGGTATCTGTTCAGCATGGATCCTGCCGTCCCATCTTTATGACTACTAGAGATAAATAGCGGTGTTTTGACCAAAACGTGCCTGCTAAGGACAGCTGTTCCTTTGGCCGTACAGCCGGTTTATTTGGTGAACTTTGCATCATTCATTTGCTCATTCACCTGCAATCTTTCAGGTGCATGAGTAAAGAATTTTACACCTTAAAAGTGCAGACATTGAAAGATTTGCCTGTCATCAGTGTATCTTGTGCTACTGGCTTTTTTGGAACCCAGACATAGCTGGAGTGTGTTTTTCTTTTAACAAAGAGGAATTAGGGTCATCTGAAAAGGTTAGTTTGATGTGTGCCTCTGCTCTTCTGCCATGCCACTGCTGATTAAAAATGCCTTTCAAGCAAAAAGGACAGGACAGCATCCTTGTATCTCTGGGAGAGCTGGAAACCAAATGTCGGTGCTTTTGTCATTCTGCCACATTTTGCAGAAATACTGTTGCCATCAGAGCATCTGCATCTCTTTTTAATAATTTATGGGTCTGCCAGTTTAACTGTAACCTACTTCTGTGTTCACTCTTAGTTTCTTCTAACTTCTTGCAAACTTGGCAATCATTCATTTTTCTATTTAATTAGTAAACTTGAAACATAGTAGCCTGATACTGGTTGAACTGAATTATCGTTTCTGTCATTTCTTAGCACTACAGTCTCTTTTATTACCCATTGATTTGACTAAATATCCTTGCGTGAGGTGAATATTAATACACCTTTAGCCCTGAACTACGGTACACATGCTGGGAGGATAGTGAACGCACTAACTTACTACTCTGGAGAGGGAGAGGAGGGTGATTTAAGCTCAGATGTTGTATAATGGCTATTGAAAGAAAAATGGTGCAGTGAAATGGGAGCCTTAAATACCTTTTAGACAGGAACCTCAGTATACTGCTCTACTAATACAGAGTTTGCAGTTATGGTGGTTAATTGCCATACCCTCTGCACTGTTTGCTTTGGGAACTACAATGCTTTATGTAGAAAATTCTTCCTCTTCAAAATGTGCTGTGTGCTGGGGAAAATACGTAGAGGACTATGTTGTGTGATTGCAGCATTACAGATGTACTAGACAGTTGCTCTGTATAGGTTTTAGGTTGTTGAACACGACTACTTTGTACTGAAGTCTAAAATAACCATTAGATCTCTTTCCGCTAAAACACAATGTGTGCCCTGTTGGTCATACCCGTAACCTTTAAAATCAGAGAAATGCTTACTCAGCAGACCCCTTTGTTTTCTTTATTTTTATCTAGCTGTGTCCTCTGCTTTGCACAATGAATTAGCTTGTCGTCTTGATACCCAAGGATTCATGATTTTAAGCTAACTCTTGAAAATGACCTTGCAATGATTATATTTTCCAGAAAAACCTTGAGAGCTGTTTCAAATTACGTAACATCACAGTAAGATAAATATATCCTAAGTAAATAGTGTTTAGAATCTCAAAGTTGTTATTTACTAGAAAGATTGGGATATGGCAGACTGGAAGACCACTTCTACAAGGTAGTTAAATGCCCTGGTATTTTCTTCAAAGTGCTGAAGTAGGAGACGGTGCAGCTTAAAACTGCTCTGAGACCTGGTATTTTTAGGAGAGGATTTGCTGGTTTGGAAGTGGTTAGGTTTGAGATCCACCAGTTATTTGGACTTTGTTACGTTTCAGTTATTTGAATCTGTTGTTATGCCTGGTATTGAAAAATTTGTATAAACCCAATTTACATTGTAGGAGCTTTCACCATTCTTTAAAGCCTTTTTATAGTTCTCTAAATTAAGTAGAAGAAATGAACAAATGCTCTTCAACTACCTGCACTGGTTTCTTCTTTCTATTGCTGTTCGTTTTTATAAAGGCCATGCCAAATTTAGCATGCAGTGGAGGACTACATGAACACAATTTCTTAATTCTTTAAAAAATTAACAGTAGTTTCTTTGATTTTTCAGGACTATTTGAAGCCTAAAGTAGGCCGTCATGAGATAAAGTGGAAAATTAAAAAGGTCGTCATCTCCTAGCTTGAAAGATTTTTTTCATGCTTGGCCAACTGGCATATGTTATTCATGAAAATGAAGTTATTCTAGATTTCTGATTTAGTGGAGTTTTTTGGGAAAGCCAAATTGCAGGTCCTTTGAAATAAGTAACAGACTTACCAGTGATTTTTCTGTGGGACCAGTGACACTGTAGTTGGAATATGAACAAGAAAAGTTTGATTGCTATTTTAAATTTAGTGCAAGTATATTATCGAAGTGGTTTCTATGTATGTACCTTTACTCAACTACAATCAAGTTTTTAAATCTAACACCCTCAGCAGGAGAGAAGATCCAGGCAAAGACCAAATGCATGCAGCGTTCCACCTGTTTTATGTCTTGATAGATCTGTAGTGGCAGCTTCCTGTATTAATCATTTTTGTTGATGTTCTTGTTCTTTCTATCAGCTTCAGCTTAAGTACCTAGTGCTTTTGCATAAGTATTAACTGATATTTATGAAATAATATATCGCAGCACATTGCCTTACAAAGACCTGGATCAATGGGCAGGACCCCAATTCTGCTATATTTGACCTTCTGCTGGCAAGTTGAGTGCATTGGATATGTAAATCTAACGCTACTATGAAATAAAAGGATCACGGGGGTTAATAAGCTGCTTCTGGTAGCTGGGATCTTCATGATGAAAGTCAGTGTTTCCCCAGTCCACTAGTAACTACTGCTTGTCGACCAACATACCTTATGCTGCAGGTGCAGTTAGAGCAGGAGAGTTGCCCAGGTAGATGTTGTTTTTAGGATGTCTAAGTACTGCCAAAGGACTTTCATTTGGAGTAACATTGTTTTACTTGGGAATTTTCTTGTTGGTACATTGCTGAACTCATTCTTTGACCCAGTAAAGCTAGCGTCATCAAATCAGCAGTACGCAAACTCACATGTCACTCCGTTGCCGTAGAAGGTAGTGTGCCCCGAGGGTGGGAGAGCAGCAGATTCAGGGAAGATGCTAAGATAATATCTCATATGGCTATTGTAAATACATTGGGAAATCTTTGTGCAGCTAAACTAAATTTACTTTGCACTGGAATTTACGGTACAGAAGCTGAGCTGTTACCTCATTAGTTGAGAGTTACTTGACACCTGCTGATCCTGAGGTTTCTTAGCTGGTTCTCGTACTAGAAACAATTGCATCCATTGGCCCCAAAATAAATGCTCTATTGAATGTTAGTCTGATATACTCAACTTGAAGTTGTTTCAAAAAACTTGTCCATCTTGAATTTTTCTCTAGCTAACGAGAAGCCTCAAAACCCCCAGCTTCTGGTAAAAGTAATTCAGTAATAATTTCTTTAAATACGGAGTCTAGTGACAGTAAACCATGAATGGGGATAACTGCCTTAGATGTTAATTGCAAATGGTGCTTTAACGAATTATTGTCAAACTCATTCTCATTGATTTCCTCTTCCTACACCAGGCTGCAGGGCATGGTGTCTTTGGCATATGCTCTGCCACCAGAGCCCTGAACAAAATTCAGGAGTGGACTTGGCACCTGCAGATTACAGAAAGAGCTTAAATAGAAAAGATGTCCTTGCATTTGATGCAAGAAAGTTTTTTCAGAACCTTTGCTTATGCTTCTACTGGATATGTCTGCACTTGTTCCTGTGGAGTCCTGTCTTCTGATGAGTTGAATTATCTATTGTTATATGTAAGGGAATAGTAAAAGAATCAATATTTTAATTTTTTATTACTGCTGCTTAGTAAAGCATCTGCTTGAAGATGATCATCTTTTTGGATCATGTAGCCCAGTGCATTCTGTGCTCAAAAAGTCCAGTATTCTGTGCCCAGAAGAAGCAAAATGCTTTCTGCTGCTTGCATATGATGCGGAATTTTGGTTTGCGCTCGCTCTGTGGAAATCAGACAGTCCAGTAGGCAGACTGTACTAGAAAAGGAGTAGAGAGTTAGAGATATTTTGGTGTACCTGTTTGGATTGATTTGTAACTGGTGCTTCTATGTATGATAATTTAATTATCACATTGCTCCAGTGCCTTAAAGCTATGTTGGCTTTCTCTGAATGTATTGCAAAACTTGTTTAGTAGTTTACTGTGAAGTGATTGACATTTTGATTGCCTTTATTTCTTTATAGAACAAGGCTTAGATCACATAGCAGAAAACATCCTTTCCTATCTTGATGCCAGATCACTCTGTGCAGCAGAGCTGGTATGTAAGGAATGGCAGAGAGTCATCTCTGAGGGAATGCTGTGGAAAAAATTGATTGAAAGAATGGTACGCACAGATCCGCTATGGAAGGGACTGTCAGAAAGAAGGGGTTGGTAAGTATCTTGACAATAACTAAATTCACCTTTTACAGTGTTCTCCTTCACAAATTTCCCTAATCATGAGCTCTGCCGAAAAGTAAGTTTATAGTAAATTGGTATCACTGAGATCCGTATGTCTGCCATGGACTAGTGGGGGTAGCTACGGCGAAAGCTGTCAGTTCCTGTTTCTATTTTGGCTTTGTCCCCTGTGCTTTTGTGCACCAGTGTCTTCAACACTTGCTTTCTTGTGGTAAGTCTGTCTGCAAATTTGTAATTTCTGTTTTGCAGGGAGAACTAACATGTAGAATCAGCTCACAAAAAACATGTTTTGCAGGGCTTTTTCTTGAGTGAAGTATTTCCAATTAAACTTTTTTTTTTTTGCTTAAAATGTAAAATAGCTGATTGGGCTGCAGAAGCCTCTCTCAGAGAGAAACCATTTATGTTTATGGCAATGGAGTTTTTCTATCCTTTATGAGTGTCTGAAGAGACGAAGTGTTCTGCTTTAGAAACCTGCTTTTCTGTGCTCTCTAGTGGTGTGCCTAAGAAAATGCAAGGCATGTTGTAAAGAGCAAGAGGATGACACCCTGCTGGCTAAAAGCCTTATGAAGCAGTGAACACTAATTTGGAAAACCATAAGGAAAATACCTCTTATCTTTTTAGTCTTGGACATTTTAAATACAGCTCTCAAATTGTAAAGTCACAAGGGTTATAACAGCAATACTAAAAATTCTTACAAGTATTCTGTGAGAATATGTCATAAGGTTTTGTTCTGTGCAGATTTTGAATTCCTTTGAAGTTTGGATTCTTTGTGGTAAATTGAAAAATATCTCTCTGGTTCTTTCTAGGGATCAGTACCTGTTTAAAAACAGACCAACAGATGGCCCCCCAAATTCATTTTACAGGTCCTTATACCCCAAGATAATACAGGATATAGAGGTACGTTTTCTGATATATAATACCTGCAGGAGAAATAATGTTGCATATTGTTGGTGTTTCAAAGATGGTGCATGTTGGAGCAACGAAGCATATCATACGTATCTGCATCACTACTACTTTGTGAGCTCTGGCTCCTCAGACAATGTAAAAAATACCCTCAGCAACTTACTGCCACAGTACATGCATTAACGTGTTACTTTAAGTGTTAACACCATCTTTTTTGCGTTTAAAGATTTTTTGAACTCTTCTGGGACTGTGGATTTTAATAAAATAGCTGGTTTAGGAAACTTACTACTCCAAGACAATTCCACGTATTGCTGAATGTTCTAATATATCAGTGACACTCACTTACAAAGTGATCTGAGGGTTAACGCCTTAAACGCCAATCATTTAAGATGTTGCTCATTTAGTAACTTACTACTTCTAAATCAGTCACTGCTGCAAATACAGCTTTCTTCAGGTATGGGATTCTTTTTCCCCCTCGAGTGGTTTGATGAGAACAATCAGTCCTACAATGATAAACACAGTAGGGGTATTGGTGGTAAAAAGACTGTAGAAATGACTATTCTTTTCTTTGATATAAAATTTTGCTTATCTTGTTTAAGAGTTACAAAGTTGGGCTTGCTCACTTATTTTAAAATGTTTCTGATAAATCAGGATCATCTTGGGTATTCTGCCTACCAGCAGAAAATCTGTCTCGCTCAGTTTGCTGTGTACCCACCACAAAACTCTTTAAGTTACACCACAGACTGTAATGGATTTATTTCAACCACGTGATGGATGTGAAATTATTGGTCTGAAATTCATTAGTGGGGAAACACGTGTTTTGATGTTTAAGACAGATGTGAACTAATGGAGTCATTCTGCTATGGCAAATGTGAGTTTTTCTTGCTTGGCACGCAGTAAACAAAATTATTCAGAACTCTCAACCTATCTGTAAAATGTATCTGCTGGAAAACATAATCCAATTTTCAAATATTTTTTTATAACCCTTGCTACACAATTTATAAACATTTAAAGATAAAGAACCAAGCATGAAATGTAGCCTAGGCAAAATAAGATCAAACTTGATATTTACTTGTGAGCTGAATGATACACATTTTATTATTTGAAGGGAGATGTCTACTCACTATAAGGAACGACAGAGTGATATTGCAATCCTAAGAAGCCCATGGGATTAAAGAGAACTCTTAATGTGATATTTTCTTGCTTTCTGCAAAATTCTGGCACTGTTCGGTAACGAAAATGGGTGAAAAGATGACCTTTGAGATGAACACTTTGAGTAGAACACTGAAGGAGTTCAGCATTATTATAATTCAGATTTTTAAGTTATTTTTCTGAAACTCATTTGTTTAGGTGTAAGTGGAACATTTGTATAGGAATTATTATTATTAGAGATGGGAGTGTTCCTTAGAGATGTTCCGAGGCCATTCAGCCTTTGAACTGTCACAATCTGCTATTTAATACTTTCATTCTCTAGTTGCCATAGATGTGCTAGTACAATGCACAGAAACGAAGCTCCTGAATTGGACAGTTTTTGTTAGTATGAAATAAGCAGGAAAAAACCAAAACCCTCAGGCTTCGCTTGTTGCTAATACATTAAATGTAAAAATTTTCAGTCTCTCAATATCTGGGAGTGGGGAAGGAGTATGCCACTAAAAATGTATCATAGTAATGAACATGTTTCTTGAAAAACTGAATTTCATTAAGATAACACTAAATACATTAAACCCTGAAATTAGAAGAAAAATTTGCACTGCACTGCCTGAAAAGTAAGGGCTTATGTATTCAATATGGATAGAAAATGCATCAGTGTTTGGAAGTCAGGAAACACAGTTTTATAATACTCTTTTGAACCCTAACTTTCTTTCAGAGTTTCAACTCATAAATTTTTATTTTTCATTATATAATGCTCAGGTGGATGATGTGATAAATGTAGAATATGCAGAGTAAGGGGTTATCTCGTGTCAAGCTTTGAGATGGCGCTGGAACAGTAGAGCGTGCTGTATGTAAAACATGCCATACCACTAGTACTTAAAAATAGTAACGTGAGTAATGAGTGTGGGAAAAGAGTTGTCTTTTCTGCGGTGTACAAAGAGTAAACTGTAAGCTGTTGCCATAGTTTCTGCCCATTCCAAACTGCCTGGCAATCCAGCTACTTTTACATATGATTTCCATGGTTTCTATGTAATGCTTATATCCTTAACGATGTTAAATATTACTGGGGCATGCGGGAAACTCCTGTGTGTCTCAAACTCAGATGGAGGGAGGCAAGAATAGAGAAGCAGAATTCCTGTAATTCTGTACTTTTCATTCCATGCTTGTGTCTATAAACCTATGAAAAACCTTTGGTTGTTAGTGGTTGTCAGTCACTTGGGGTAGAATTTAAGGTCTTTGCAGCTTCCCTCAGTGCTGTGTCCATGGCCCATGGATACTTTGGTAGAGCAGTAAAGCTGAAAGGAGCCAGGACCTGTCACCTCTGGGCTCTTGCCTCTGAACTGCACTTTAGCAAAAGTAAGTGTACGCCTCTGTTTGCCCAAATTCAGGAAGGAAATGCATCTTTGTCTGGTCTTCTAGAGTGGTGAAGTCTCTCTTTGAAAACTAATGGCTACTTCCAGAATCATCACTGCTCGGTTTATACAGGCGGCGCATTTCCCACTCCTGTTTCTTCGAAATTGCTGAACTGGAGGGGGAAGGCAGAAGGATGGGGGTATTGTGCCACGTCAATTTTTTCCCTGTTTACATATTTTCCTTCAAGCCTTCTGAAATACTGCTGTTTTCCAGGTTTCCAACCTGGAGTGGGGTTAGTGTTTCTGCTAATAGTCAAGGGTCCAATAATTCTTCCACCTCCAAAAGTCTATTATAATTTTTCTAATAAATCACCCTTTAAAGCACTTTTCACAAATTGCTTCCCTAAAGGACTATCAAAAGAAGCTTTTAACACTGTTTAAAAATGTAGATGGTGAGTAACAGTAACAACAAAACTTAGCTATAAGATTAGGCGCACTTCTTAACTTTCCTCCCTTTATTCTGTTTTTAAGCCTAAAATCATGCTCTCCCTCAGTTTCATACTTTTCCCATTCCTTCATTTTTCAAAGCAATGTGCAGAAGCTCTTAAACAAGGCTTTCATCTTAGCTGTGATGAAGAATTTTGTATCTCTGCGTACCAAAATGTTTTTTCTTCAAATATTTGCCTGGACCTTTAATAAGATCTTCCTGTTTCTGTCAGAGGGTCAGAGTTTAGGGAGCTAGTGATGAGCCAAAGACTACCATATTAGCATTTGTATAATGATAGAAGTATTTTTATAAGAAATTTATCTTGTGTCCAAAGGACTTGATTTTTTAATATGGTAAAATATATTTGATGTAACACACAAATTTGTCATTCAGTATTTTACCTGTGGAGCACAAAGATTAACTAAATTCTGCTAGACTGTTTCTAATTATAAGAGTTATTAATTTACTGCAGCTGGTACTGAATTGGATTGTGGGTAGAGATAAGCTCAAAGGAGAATGCGCTCTCTCCTTTGGATTGACGGACAGAATTTGAAAAGTAATCCAAAACCTGAATTAACAATTGGAAGGAAAAATGAGGAATGATAAATAGCAAATTTGAATTCTTTCCCTTGGGCTCTATTTGCATTTTGAGTCAAAAGTCCATGTAACCACAAAGTGTTGTTAGCTGCAAGGTAATACAGGCAATGATTTGGCAAAGTGAGGTTCCCTTGCCTCTCTGAAAATTTATGAGTGCCAATATCTGTTTATTTCATGCCAAACACATTTTAGGAACATAATGTCACTTCTGAAATCATTGGATTTGAAAATAAGAGGACATTTAGTGATCTGAAACCAAATTCTTGGAAAGAGGTGGTTACTTTCCACCTCCACTGTGAAGCCAAATATTTAATTAGGTTTCATTTCACAAGAGGTGGTCCAGTGATTTTAAATGTCTCCAAGTCAGATGTTGAATTGCCAGGCTTCTTTAGGAGCTTTTTTAAAGGGAAAACCTGATTTGGGGCTTATCCTAGAAAAGTGAACCTGGGTTTGCAAGACCTTGTTTATGGAGATGATCTGGTTGGTATCCTGTGCCTGGGTGCAGTCCTAAAGTGTTGTGGGGAAGGTCACCTGTTTTAATGGGACTGTGTTAATCGGCACATTGCCAGGATGGGAAGTTTAATACTGCTGATTCCAGAACCCCAAGTCCCTGGATTTTTTCCATATTATTTGTGAAGCTTGGCCAACTATTCTGTTTTCCCCTCAGGATTAGCACAAGTATCTATTTCTTGTGATGGGTTGAGAAGACTTACTTCATAAATGTTCCCCTTATCTTTAGGCACATGGCAAGTGCCCTCATCTTGTTTCCATGGAGACGTAGGTCCACCTAATTAAGATGAGAATTAAAATGTGATTTTGCTGAAGACTTTAGGAAAATGTGGTGCCGGGCCATCAGATAAATACCATGTGGTGTTCTGAATTTTGAAAAAGTTCAGATTTTAGGACTGGAACTGAAATTTTAAAGCCTTGGGAAAATTTGAAAAGGGGGAAAAGTCAGCTCTCCCCCTAAGTCACTGCCAACATTGGGAGATCTTGTTTATGAAAGTTGCAGTGTATAATTTCTGAGGGAAATGGGTTTGTTTAGTACTGTTCTAATTAGGATGCTGGAGGAATTTTATGTGCATGTGTGTGGAGAATCTGGTCAGCATTATACGCCTAGAAATTTTTTCAGCCAGCCTTTGAAATCGCTACTCCACAGGCACTTTCCAAAAGACGTTTCTTAAAAATGAAACTGGCCATGGAAAGAAGAGGCTTTTGAGTGGCAGGGACAAAGTTCTTGTGGTGCTCAGCACAGGTTTTGGCTCTCACGTCTGAACAGGGCAGAAGACTCCTTTCAGATGCCCCTAGCATGGGACAGATCCTTGACTTGGCTTTTTTTGTTCACTTTGCCCACATCACACCTACTTTTTTCACAAACAGGCATAAAAGGCTGCCGTTTGTCTTCT